CAATTCATAACCACTGTACCCTACAGAGCTCCTTCCCTCTATGCTACTTAACAGCATTATTTCTCTCCCTGTACAGTCTGACATTTTGAAGACTAGATAATAAGATTTCTTCTGACTTCCCTCCTGATCCCTTTCCATCCGTTTGTATGGCCCTCCCTTCCTTCCTCATTGCCCCATCCCCGCTTCCTCAACGGAGTCCATTGCCATCCCTGCTTCCTCAATGGTTCCCATTGCCCCATCCCTGCTTCCTCAAGGAGTCCACTGCCCCATCCCTGCTTCCTCAATGGTTCCCATTGCCCCATCCCTGCTTCCCCAACGGAGCCCATTGCCCCATCCCTGCTTCCTCAACGGAGCCCATTGCCCCACCCCTGCTTCCTCAACGGAGCCCATTGCTCCATCCCTGCTTCCCCAACGGAGCCCATTGCTCCATCCCTGCTTCCCCAATGGAGCCCATTGCCCCATCCCTGCTTCCCCAATGGAGCCCATTGCCCCATCCCCGCTTCCCCAATGGAGCCCATTGCTCCATCCCTGCTTCCCCAATGGAGCCCATTGCCCCACCCCTGCTTCCCCAATGGAGCCCATTGCTCCATCCCTGCTTCCCCAATGGAGCCCATTGCCCCACCCCTGCTTCCTCAACGGAGCCCATTGCCCCATCCCTGCTTCCTCAATGGAGTCCATTGCCCCACCCCTGCTTCCTCAATGGAGACTGACATGAAACATGGCAGCCCTTTTGTGGGGAAACGCTGGTCAACAAGATTCCAAATCACTCATGAATCATGTCATGTAATTGAGGAATGTGGGCATACATGACATTATCCAAACAGATGATTGCAATATTACATTTTCTATTTTCAAAAAAGGAAACTCTCTAAACTGAGTCTTTGAAACAGAAAAATAATCTTGCAATGTTTTGAAAGCGGCGGAGACACTCCCCTCCACACAAAGGGCAGAGTGTCCTTGCCCTGATGTAAATGTTTTAGCAGCTGTGGAAACTTTCAACAAAATTTACTTCCAGCAACTGAAAGTGATGTGCAAAAACCGGGCTTTTCATGGTGCAGACTGAAGCACTTACTGAGGAGATGAAGATGCTGAGGGCGCGGCCCGGAGCCGTGTGGCTCCTTCCCACGGCTTGGCTCGTGCACTGATGTGGTTTTCGTCTTCCACCACATCCCGCTGCACCTCTTAGGAAAGCGTGTGTCTTGATTCTGAGCTCTTTGCATGACATAGTAAAAGACCTCTATGCAGCACCCCTCTTTCCCAGAAAGCAGAGGTGAATGTTCCAATGTATAAATATGGGGTTTCCCGTAGACATATGCAAGTCAAAGCTCTGCCCCCTTTGGGGTTACTTCCATGTGAGGATGCTCAGTAGTGTTGTATCCACTGGCCTGTTTGCTATGTGCGAGAAGGGGTCCTCCTCTCTGAGACATCTAAAGGCTTTTACGTTAAAATCCTACGTTCACAGACCTTTCTGTGGAGCGCCTCTGTACTAGTTCGTGTATTACATTGCAAGAGAAACTCAGTTACAAAATTAGCTCAAAGGAACTACTTTCACCCCATCTTCTGAGTAAGATAAAGTCCCAATGGCTATCTTACCATCTGGGAATTCTGGAGATAACAAGTATGCAGAGTGGCATAAGAAAGGAGCGTGCTCCCGGTTGAAGGGGCTGTATTCTAGTACAGGTCTCGGTGGTTAGATGACTTTATAGCGCTGAGCTTTCCCTAATGGCTAAACATCAGAAAAGGTGTATGTCAGGTTTATATAATGTCTATGCTGAGAAGGTGGACTACACGAAGGAGAATGAGTTATCAAGATCGGAAGAGGCCTCATTAAACAACCTGCAATATGCAGATGGCGCAACCTTGCTTGCTGAAATCTGAAGAGGACTTGATTTACTTACGCAAATCAAGACTACAGCCTCCAGGATAGATTAGACCGCAACATAAAGACACCATCTACAAGTGGACCCATACACAATATCATAATAAGTGGAGGGAAGATTGAAGTTGTCATGAATATCACTTTACTCGGATCCTTAATCAGTGCTTCTGTGGAAGCAGCAGTTAACATATCCAACAACATATTGTATTGGGCAAATATGTTGCACAAGACCTCTTTACAGGATTAAAGAGCAAGGATGTTAGCAAGGACTAAGGTATACTTGACCCAAGTCATGGAAGTTTTAGTCATTTCATTTAGAGGGTGGACAGTAAATAAGGAAGACAGGACTAATTGGTGCCTTTGAACTAGGATGTTGGTGAAGAACACTGACTATGCTATGGATTGCCAAAAGAAGGAACAAATCCATGCTGAAAGCCGTACTGTCAGAATGCTCACACGCTTAGCTTAGGAAGGTTCTCACGAGGGGGACCAGGCCCTGGAGAAGGCTATCATGCTTGGTAAAGCAGAGAGTTGACAGAAAAGGGGACGATGCTCAATGGCTTCACCAAGGGGCTCAGATAGAGCAGTGGTGGTAAGATGGCACAAGACTGCGCAGTATTTAGTTCTGCTGTACACAGGGTTGACTCTGAGTCAAACTGGCTCCATAGCACCTAACAGCAGCTTTCCCTCAGAATACCGTTCTTACCCAACGAAAGCTCCACTTCTAGTTGTCATTTCCCTTAACAAAGGAAGCAGTCATGTGTTTCTGAAGGTCGTTGAATTATGCATATATTTAAAAATAAAATTTGAAGTGTTCATCTTAATTCAATACAGGCAGTTTATGTACCTACTAAGTGTAAAGCATTCATTTATTTTGTGACTTCAGTTGTGGATTTGAATTAGAAATGCAGCTACTTTGTCCCCAAGTAGTATCCGCCTTTCTCCTTCCCAAAGCACATGTTCACTGCAGTCTCTCTTTCTTTCTCTCAATCCTCAGGCTTAGGCTATTTGGCTAACTTACAAAAACATTTTATTTTTAAAAAAGGAATTAATTACCTCTTAAAGAGATTATATACAGTTAAGGTTCAGAAATTAACAGTAGTTATTCAGAAAGCATCTACACCTTGAGTTTTATCACTTTATGCCACAAAATGAACATCTTTTGGTGATGGAATATAAGAGAGCATTCTGTTTTTCCAGTACAAAGGTGGGCAAACAAAATAATACATGCAAGAGTTATTTCTCTTAAATATCTGGCAAGGCATATGACCAATAGTTAGAATTTTTTTTTGACTTGGTTAAGACAAAATGTAGCCAAATGTTAAAGCATACGGACTGCTGGTGTAGGCAAAGCAACTTGTCTGATGAAGCTTTTAATCACCCCGGCACACAAACATGTTGAAACTTTACCATTATGTTTCCATGCAGCCTGTTTCCCTGCAGCGAGCATTAGCTTTAACCCTTCAGTGTTGTAGAATTTCACAGATAGGGTGAGGGCTGACGTTTTATTCAGAAATGAGCTTTTAGTTAGGGATGACTCAGCTTACATGAGAGAACTTCAGTTCCCTGGCTGTGTCTGGTCTCAGGATAGTATATATTTATATGTATGTATATGATGTATATTATGGGGGCTTCAAAGAGTGTGTGAAAAACAAATCCAGCATCTTTCCATGCCCTTTTTCCATGAGCTTTTTGAAGCCCCTTTGAGTGTATGTGTATACATGAATATGCATATACATATAGGTATGCATCTCTTAACATCTATGATACATTCACAGAATGCTATGTGATTTGGATGCTGTGCAAACACCATATTGTATACAGGCAGCCCTGTGCAATCTGTAATCAAATCCCCATACAGCCTATTATGTTAAAAGCTAATAAGAGCCTTCCAGGCAGAGCCTGAACACATCGCTCCGTGGTGCGAGGTTTGTGGTTAGACTGCCCAGGGGCTCTGCCAGCAGCTGGATTCGGACGTTGCACACATCTGGGCAAAAGAACCCTGCTGGCATAGGGAGTTAAGTGCTGAGATGCTGACCCCAGGCAGGTGATTGAAATCCAACAGCTGTCCCGAGGGAGAAAGGTGAAGCTATCTCACCCCTTAGAAACTTACAGGAGCCCTTGTGGGATAACGGGTTACACGTTCGGCTGCTCACTGCAAGGTCAGTGGGGGAAGAAACACGAGATTCCCTGCTCCTGTAAAGGTTTACAGGCTCGGAAAGCCAGAGGGACAGTTCTGCTGTCCTACAGGATCACGATGAGTCAGAATAGACTCGAAGGCAGGGGGTGTTCTTTTGTTGTTGTTTGGGGGCAAAGGTGGAGGGGTGGGTGGCCACAAGGACCTGGTGTGAAGGTGCTAGGAATGAGGTTCGCGGGGGCACCCTGGCTGCTGCCGCCCCCTTGCCTTGTCGGTGCAGCCACCACCGCCACTCTTTTCCTGAGCCAGCGAGTGCCCTGGGCTTTGTGGGTGACTAGTGCAGGTGGCAGGAATGGAGGAGCCAGGTGCTGCCCGGCCAGGAGAGAAAGGCTGCAGTGCTAACAGGGCCAGCGGGAGGGGAAGGAGGAGTGGCTGGCACTGGAATCCACCCTGAGCTTCGCTGGGTGGTCACGATGAACTGCAGGGTCTTCCTCTCATTAGGGGGGAGATACTAAACAAAAGGAGAGTTCCTTTTTAAAATAAAACAAAACAAAACCCCAACACCTGATGGGGTCACAGACGTATATGCAGTTGGACACGACCCAAATGAAAACGGTAAAGCAATGCACACCTGCTCCTGTATTTTACAGGGGATCTGTTCTGAAGGAGATCCTGGGATTGTCACTTTTGTGGGCTGTCTATTGTTTTTTTAAATGATTGTGCAAATTCAGGGTGTGTCACCTATTCTCTTCCTGCTGGGAATGTTCTACCTCAGAGAGAACTTCATGAAGGGTGGCACTCTTCTGGATTAGGTAATGTCAGCACCCCTAGGGATTGCTTTGCGAATGAACTGCCTGGAGGGTGAGATGGCTCTTCTCTCCACCTGACTCTCGAGTGCTTCTTAGAGAAAGCCATCACTGAAAGGGTTAAGGTATGTTACGGCAGCAGCTATCAGCAGACCAGCCATCTACCTTTGGTACTTACAGGAATTTTATGACTCTTGATCATATTATCAAATTCTTCATTAATTTTTTTGTATTTTTCTTCAGTGCGTGGGGTGAGTGCATAAGAGGAGTCGGGATCGGGGCTTTCACGGCCTTTGTTCTCTTTCCTGTTCAATGCCTGCCAGGTTCAGAGAAATACCGAGAGTAAAAAAAAAACGAAGGGGGAGCCGAGTACTTACACACAATCTTTGCCTGCTGATCATTAGATCGATATCTTCGTTAATTTTCCTGTACTTGTCCTCAGACTCAGGGCTGTGACCTACGGAATCGTCTGCATCAGGGTCTGGGCTGTCACAACCATTAAGGCCTTTCTTTCTCAACGTCTGAAACACACAATTTGGACATTTCAAACCTAGAGGAAGGCTGTAAGAGACATTCAGGGCAGTTACAGAAGTTCACGCTGCCCAGCACTTCACACTAACATGGCATCTGCTACATCTTACCTTCCAGAAAGCACAGAGAAGCCGATGAGTCATTTCAGTAGCATGCTCATTAAACTAAATGAAATAGTTAAAGGCGAAGAGATATATTCTTTTCGTGACTAAATTTAGTCAATGAACAAAGAGGGTGTGAGGGTGGCAGTTTTGTGGTAGGGAGTTTACATGCGCTAGCGAGAGACAATTGCAGCAGAGCACAGTGAAGGAGGCGAATCGCAACACTCTCATCTTCCCACAGAAAAACCAGAAGTCAGGACATTGCACAATGACTTCAGAATCCGTGATCATGACACAAGCAGAATAGTTGGCATCAAACACTGGGGATGGAGAGGTGTCCTGTGACCCCAGTTTGCTGTGCCCTTGACAATTATTATTATTATTTTTTTCATTTTGGCTGTCTTGATTTACTTATATCAATTACATATTTCAATATTTCTTTTTAAAAAATCACTTTATTGGGGCTCATACAACTCTTATCACAATCCACACATACATCACTTGTGTAAAGCACACTTATACATTCGTTGCCCTCATCATTCTCAAAATTCGCTTTCCGCTTGGGTTCCTGGAATCAGCTCCTCATTTTCCTTTTCCCCTCCTCCCTCCCCATTCTCCCCTCCCTCATGAACCCTTAATAATTTATAAATTATTATTTTATCTTATCTTACACTGCCCGGCGTCTCCCTTCACCCACCCTTCTGTTGCCCATCCCCCAGAGAGGAGGCTATATGTAGATCCTTTTGTGATCGGTTTCCCCTTTCTACCCCTCCTTCCCTCCCAGTATCGCCACTCTCACCGCTGGGCCCTCGACAATTATTAAGCGGAGCTGGCTAATATGCTCACGGTAGGCCGAAGGCCGATGAAGAATGCTCATTTACTGCACTCACTTGGAGAATGACTCCTACTTAGGCTCCTTGGAGTTCTAACACTATGTGAAACTCCGAGCTGAAATTTAGAATCCTGAGAAGTTAGCTGCCTGAACACAGGCTGAGACGAAAGTCAAAACAGCTGAGCTTAGGGCTTCATTATTATGAGCTAAGTGAGGAAGCCCACAGAACACTGAAAATAGGTAACCAAGTCAATAACTACCCACCTAGCAAAAGTTCCTGCTGGTTTCGGCTGACTAGGAAATCACCTGGAGACTGTCTCCTGACACATGAAAATGAAAAGGCTGTACCTTATCTTGAGCCTCCTGTCTCCTGCCTGTGGCTCTGGTCTAGTCCCAGCTGTCACAGAAGGATAAATACTAAGGTAGCACTGTAACAACTAGAAAAAGTCTGAGTCAGGAGTCCTGAGTTTGTCTTTCTTTTCTTCTCTCCTTTTTTTAAATGGATGGCTGTCAATCTAATTGCACATGATCCAATTTATGGAGGTGATGCTAAGTTTCATAAATCACAAAACTTCTTATCAATCACAGAGCTTGCCAGGCTAATTATTAATAGACTAGCCACATTGCTGAATTCCCCTGGTCCTACCTCCTAACAGTGTAGATTGAGATGCGTACCCAAGTGCCTCTCAGGAACAGAAAGTTGAGCAGAGCTCATCTTTATTAAAGACAGGATTCACATACAGATAAAGCAAAAGCTGTGGCATCAAGCTACGGCATTCGAAGCTGAGATAACACTCCATCTTTAATCCATGCAATTGGGGAAAATAAATAACATGAGATGATTTTTAAAAAGGGGGTGTCATTCTTAAATGTTTAAGCTCCTTGGCTGTTATCAATGAGTAGCAAATGTAACAGTGTTTAACATGAGCTTTTGGAGGCCCTGGTGACTTTCGGTGAAAATCAAACTAAGAGAGCTACCATTTCTAATCTATCTATGATGCACCGTCGCTCTGTAAATATTTATTAATGTTATAGTGGTATCATGTAACAAATAAACATATGGTTACAGCTTATTATGTGGTAGAATGTTTGAATATTAAAATGCATATTTTGACACAAGAAGATAAAACCTACATTCACAATCTTAGGGAATTCATAAAGCGGTGCAGCCACCTGTCCCCCGAGCAAGGGTCTCCAGACACCTCTTTCACCACATGAGTCTCTCGTGGATCCCTACACGAATACTACAAAGGATGGCAAACTACATTGTAGTAATCATTTCACTGACTAAACTTCCTGGGTTTTTAAGTCTCCCATTCGCATGATCTCAGCCACAAGAGTGCTCTTCGGGGAGAAAACTACTTGTATTGTGATGTGATTGTGCTTTGCTCTCTGCCTGTCCTTCAGTTTGAAGAACGATTTCTGAGTGTCTTGCATCAGACATTGTACTTTTTTTTCCCATAAGAATTATGTAGAGTATGCACGATCAAGAAAATATTTCCTGGTATTTCCCAAACGGATTTGTCTCTTTCTCTAAAGCATGTTAAAAACATCCTTAAATAAACCTTTAAAAATCATATGTATTATAGAACATTTAAGTTATAGTCTTATCTAAGGCATATTGTTTTCAATGTGCACCCAAGTCTTTTATCCAATAAATCTTATTGTAAAAATCGTAGCTGTTTTGATGTGCAGATTTTTGACAACAGAACGCAAGGGTGAGGAGAGGCCTATCGACTGTCATTACAATCCATCTGGCACACGCATGTGTGCGAAATAGTCTTACCAAGCATTCGGGGGTAGATATTGTGTTTGCCTTATGAAAATTCAAACATCAATTACACTTTATTGAAAGATCTCCACAAAGATGAACTCATTGTCTCTAATAGGTCTCCCGTGAAGATGTCAGGGAACCCTTCTGCCTGGTTTCAACCCGCGTGGACAAGCATCAGGGTTCAATGAATCTTCTGTCTAGCGCAAAATGGGACCTGCCTTTCTGTCAAAACTGTCACATCTGCTAAGTGGGTGGTGTGGACTAGATTCCTCCCACTGTACTGAACCCCAGCAGTCGTGTGAGGAGTCCTTGGGTGGCTGCAAACAGTTAACATGCTTGGCTACTAACTGCAATCAACCTGAGTCCACCCAGCCTTGGAAGAAAAATCCAATGCTCTCCATCTGAAAACCAAGCCACTGCAGCTCTACTCTGACATACACGAGACTGTTGAAAGTCCACATTGATTCGACAGCAATGACTTGTGTGGTTTGAGCCCTGAAATATAGTAGAAAGAATTCAAAAGAAGGAACCTTTGGCAAATGTTAAACTATGAAAATAGGGGTGAAACACTGATCCTTCCTGGCTATCAAATTTCAGAGTGGCAATGCCTATGAGTCAGTAAAATACTTAGCAGTTTATGGATTAAGAAATCAATTAAATCAAAATTCATTCTGTACCTGAAGAAGTCTATCAATTATTATGTGCCAAAGGAGTTAGCATCCAATCTCAAAGGAAATGGGAGAAATCACAACTGTGGCTCCTTTTCTTCTAATAAACTCTTCTTGTTTTGACATCATTGTGTAAATTATCATCAGTATTTAACTAATAAAATATCCCTGCCAGGTAAAAGATACACTCTTGCCTTACGTCAAGTTAGCTTGTGTTATTTCAAGGAGCATTTTGAGATATTATAAACATAAAAAGCAAGAGACAATTAATACTGGGTTACAATTTCCCATAATCACATAATGAGAACACTGAAAAAAACGTTCAAAAATATTATCCTCGGCTGAGAGCTTGTATCATGTTTCTGCCAAGAACAAGTGATTATGGTAGAATTACAAAGCTCTGAGCATGGAAGTGGTGGCACAAGCTTGAATGCCACTGTGTGAATGTGCAACTCTGAAGGCAGTTCCATCTTTATTATATTAAAAATCTACAGCTATTTAATGATGACAAAGGGATCACTGTTAGATTCAGCCAAGTCTGTCTTTATCACAGTACTGAATATTCAACATAAGCAAAAGGAATAACTTAAATGGGCAAATAAGCACCATTCCTTCAGGCCTTCCTCTTAAGAAAATGAAAAGAAATTGGTGGCATGGTGGTTACCAGTTGGGCTGTGGATCCGTAAGGTCAGCAGTTCGAAACCACTGGATGGTCCTGGGGAGAAACACAGGGCTTTCTACTTCCCCTAAAGAAGTGCAGGCCTGCAAAGCCACAGGGCTGGTTCTACCCTGTTTTACAGGGTCGCGATGAGTCACCAGCCACCCAGGTGGCACTGAGTTGCTGTTGTGTTTTCGCCTTTGAAAGCTCTTGATCTTTGTAAGTTTCACCGGCCAGGTGAGGCAGGCACCGCGGTGGCGGATTACCCCACTAGCCAGCGTAGTACGGGTTTGCTGACATGTGTTCACTTACTCATCCGCAGTGAACAACTTCACGTGGGTTTCACCACTGGTGGCATAGTGGGTTAAGTCCTGGGCTGTTACCCTCACGGTGGGTGGCTCAAGTTCACTGGTGGCTCATTTTTCCTGGAGGAAAGATGAGGCTGAGCTCCTGGAAAGATTGCAGGGTGACTCTCGCCTGGAGTCACGATGCATCTCAGTTGACTCGGCATCCGTGGACTTGGTTTGTTTTGATCTTCGATGTGAGAAACATGCGCTGCAGATCGCGGTAAGTGAGCACAAATAAGCCTTTGTTTACCTTGCTCACTTGGCATACCCCAACCCTGTCAGAGAGTGCGGATTTAACAAGAGGATTTGGGTCTGTAGGATCAGGAGAGAGACAGATGTCACCTACACCTAGAAGCCGAATCTTTGATATGGCGGGAAAATGTCCAAGTGTTTACTGCGGATCAG